TACTTCTTCTTCCTCTATATTATTATTATTATTATTATTATTATTATTATTATAATTATAATTAATATAATTATTATTATTATAATAATTATTATATATTCCTTCTGTTCCTATTCTTTGTTTCTTAATAATTGTATTATCCTCTACTACTCCTCCTGCCTCCCTTCCTCCTCCTACTCCTCCTACTCCTCCTACTCCTCCTGCTCCTGCTGCTCCTCCTCCTGTTCCTGTTCCTGTTGCTGTTTCTTCTTCATGAATCCTTTTATGATGATTATTTTCTTCATGTGCCCATTTAACAGTAATAATAGATGAATATTTACCAAGAGATTGATCAGCCATAGCAACCTTAGCGAATTCAGCTTGTACCCTATATGCATAAGTAATAAAAGCAATTAATTTTTTAGGTATAATACGTATATGTATAAGATCACCATATTGATTAAATAAATTATATAAAAAAGATTTTAATTTATTTATATTATCTTCTTCTTTATTATCTATAATTAGGCCACTTATATATAAAGTCTTACATTCATGATTATAGCTACCTATACCTTGCATATCCTCACGATGATTATTGTGTCTAATACGTCCAAATATATCACGACTTAATTCAAGTGTATATTCATCTATTAATGTAGGAATATGATGTTTATAAGTACATTTTTCTCCTTTTATACAGCATCCTTTGGCAAAAAATGCACAAAAATAACCTGCAGATACACCCGGTGATGTATCCGCTAGGGTGTATCCTGAGTCTATTGATGGTATACAACGATATATAGATGCATCCCTATCCTTATTATTATTATTATTATATTTATTATTATTATTCTCTCCTCCTATACCTATATGACGTCCATACCATATATTATAATCATTCTCTCCTTCTTTATGACTATAATTCATCAATTCCTCTACTGTACATTGAACTCTTGCTGGTCTTCTTAGCCATTCCTCTACTAATGCTCTCTTACTATCACATAATTGATTCTGCTGCTGCTCCTGCTGCAATTTTTGCTGCAATTTTTGCTGCTTATTGCTGCTATACGCAGCTAAATGGGCTGCATATTGAGCATAAAAATCAGCATAAGAGGATACAACATCATTATTCACTATTCGTTGCTCCTCAACTGCTGCTGCTGCTGCTGCTGCTGCTGCTGCTGTTGCTGTTGCTGCTGTATTGTTATTATTATTATTATTATTATTATCTTCTGGAGGAGGGAGGGAAGAGGAGGTAGTAGTACTAGTAGAAGAAGAGGGAGGAGGAAGAGGAAGAGGAATAGAGGAAGCAGACTCCTCGTGTATTTGGGTAAAAGAATTGTCTTCTTGATGGATTGGTGAATCTATAGTAGATGCACTTGGATTAGGATCAGGAGGAGAGGAAGAAGAAGAAAGAACAGGAGGAGGGAGAGGAAGAGGAGGAGGAAGAGAAAGAGAAGAAGAAGAAGAAGAGGAAGAAGGGGAAGAAGAAGAAATATTATTATCTGTATGGGTGGTGTTGTCACCTGCTGCTGACGTGTTCAATTGTTTACTCTCCTCCATCATACAGTAATAGACCGGATGTTATTGTTCTTTATTTATATTTATATTATTATTCTTGTATAATTATCTGTATCCTGTATACTTATATACAATTTATACAAGGAAATATACACCTAATCTGCTCCTATTTGTGATAGAGGAGAGAGAATAAGATGTACTGTTGACTAGACTTACTAGGGAGGAAAAAGAGGAAAAAGAATCAATCAAGAAGGAATATATTCATCAAATAATACAAATTTTCTTATAATATACAATAAAAAGAAGAAAAGAAACAAAGACGACACTCCTCCTGACACCCAACATGCAGAAAGCTTATTTATATTACATATAGTGCCGACACCGCTGCCGCCTACAACACTACAAAGAGAGGAAGCAGAAATAAATAAAGGGTCTGCTGCATGCATGCAGACTCCTAATTAAACCAATTATTGGTTTATAAACATTCACAAATAGACAATTCACATTATAAACAAAAAGAAAATGTTTATAAGATATATTATGCACATTATAACCAGTAAACCATCAACGCGCCATATCCAGCCCCAAGTTGTACACAGCAGTGACACCCGAAGAAAGCAATGCACTACAATTATTATAAATACATGAATTAATTAAATAAAATAACATAAAAAAAACATATTTAAATTGCTAGTTTATCAGTATATAATGCCGACACCTAGAGGTGCTATAAGGGAGAATATTAACCTCTCCTCCCTTCTCTCTCTCTGTACAGCAAACGAACGAGACTCTCGGGGTTGTGCGTTCCTCTCCTACTGTATATTCTTATCTAAGTATTCATGTTATTAATTAGCAATTCCTTTATATTTATTAGCATGCATATTTTATATAATGAATTAAATAAAAGGTAAATGTCAATAAAATGAATGACATGTGTATTACTGCATGTACGTAAGGAACTGTGGCGACTTATAAGAATCCGCTAGCTGCTGATGCAGTAGACTTGGTCTGTATAACATATTGACATATTGAGTCCTCTCCTCTTAATAGTTGAATAAATTCCTCTATACAGGGCAGTCTACATATATATATTGACTCTATAGGAGTGCAGGTCTGTTGTATCTTTTTATTCGCCTTTATTAACTAATTATCTCTAGACAGACATAATTGAATAATTTGCATGCAATACAACATAACATAAAAATAACAATTTCCTTCTTCTTATGAGTTTATTCTTCATAAAGAGGAGAATATGTTTTATAATATACTAAGAAGTGTACTAAATATCCATAAAAAATAAACAATTGCTATATGCAAGTAGGCCGGTAGTATTTGTATATAATCTCTTAGTCATTAGACACAAAGAATATATTTCGTATATCTATACAACAATAGATGTGTCTATTAATACAATTAAATGATCTGCCTGTTACTCCTCACCATATGTGCTGCCTGCCTAATTAAGAGGCAAAAAGAAGGAATACTTCTTGTATTAATAAAGAAATTTGTTACTTATAACTTATAACAGTCTTATACTTTCATACAAACTTATATTGGTAGAGAAAGAACAGAACAATAGAGTTGTTGTCCTCATGACTATCTAGGACTAAGGGGTGTATCTGCCCAACATAGACAACAAAAAGAATATATTTAATTATAAGGAGTTGTTGTTACAGTAGTCAGCAGGTTATGTTTCTTCTTTTTATGACTAATATTGAGAGAATATAGATAAGAGGAATTATACTTAAGGAAACAGGCAAACACAGAAAAAAAACAACAGGAACTCCTTATGCAGTAAATGTACGCACAATTCAATCAATAAAACTTACAGAACTTATATTTAATTTCTGCAATATCTTTTTTGAATTAAGGGAAAATGCATGCAGATAGACAGTATTTGTTATTTCTTAGTTATCCTTAATTCTCCTTTTGCTGCTTAGAATTTAAGCTGAGTGTAGATTGATGAATTCAAGTCATTGTACATCAATATTATTCATTTAAAGTTATTTTATTGACGAGAATTTATTTCAATATTAACTGAAAAAGTCTGTAGTTCGGTACTCACTGATTAATTAAGGCGTAGAATGCAGAGATTTCTATGAACAAAAAGATGAATCTGCACCTCTAATTCATGAGTACTGACCACATCAGCATATTATTATTCAAAGTCGTACTTTGTAGTATTTACTTCTTGCTGTAAGGCAAACAGATGTGTCCGCGTATCCCAGTCTTCTTATGATGGAAGGAACAACAACACTGCAGGCTTTTTCCCCGCTTCTATGCCACCAAACGTCACGATGGACGCCAGTAGATGTACGCAAAACAATATATGGACAATGCAATAGTAGTTGACGTGCAACATTTAGGAAGGAAACTCCACCTCCTCATTGCTGCCTACTTATAAACAAACGGCATTTTCTTGCCTTTTTATTTAGCAACGAGGGGGCATTTACATCTCCACAGAGACAGCACATAATGAATGTGTCCAATATCTACTAAGTGTTGTATATTCGATGATATGAAGTAGACCACCGCTGATGCTCTAGAGTGCCACGCGTCACCGCAGCGCCAACACCGAGTTGGCCAGCAGATTTGCAGGTCTATTTGACGTTTTCAATATCATACTGTTTCAGTTGCATAAAAAATGTTTCGCTACTCAGGGAATGTTTGAGCTGTGCTCCTGCAGTGCATTATCTACTGTTTTTGATCTTGTCTACTCGGGGAACTTGAACGGGCGAAGTGCGTGCGGAGTAAAAACTATGATAGAAACGGGGAAGAAAGCCTTTGGTTTCAGTGGAGTATTCCATTCACATTCTTGGACATTTTATTTTTCCTATTTTCTTCTTCAGCGCATCAGAATTTCACATTGCACTGACGGGACGAACGCCGTGATGGCAGCATTGGTCATTATCCATCCCCGCTACACGGTAAGGGACACCTCCGGTGTCCTCCTTAGGAGGACACGGACTCTTTCAAAAACAAAGTTGAACATGCAGCAGTAAAATCAAGTAAAATAAGATGGGGGAACCGACCTGATCACTTGGAAGGAAGTGAGAATTCCCCCGGGGCTTCAACGGGCGCTGGAGCAGACCAGAGGACACGATCGCTCACAATTCCTCTCCGCAAGAAGCCTTTTACAACACGGCAAAACCGGAACTGGACAAAATTTCCAAAAAAGGGGTTTCTTTACAACTTTGCATGTCCAGTCCAAAAAGGTTCCCCCATTCTCGCACTCGTAGCTCTTGGCACCGTTCCCGCTGGCTCATTTCCTGGACCTGTCCCCTAATGCTCGCCAACTACGTCAGCTTATCGAGTGTAAAACTGAACCTCCTCCGCATTGTAGGAAAAATAAGATTGAATACAAGAAGCCTGATGGAAGGACGCTGAACCTTATCAGGATTCTTTCCCTAGGGGGGTGCTAGCGCGCCATCCCTTCAGGACTGGTTGCCTCACGCGAACGAAAAGGTGAGGGGAGGTTTCATTTGTCCACAATTACAATGGGATCTTCGCAGTCCACAAAGTCTTTTGACTCAACGGAGGATCCGAGCATCAACTGCGGTCTTGTAGATGGCGAAACGCCCTCAGAATTTAGTAGATCGTACAGCGCCGACGAAGAAGCAGCTTCGCCAAATCTTTCTGTCTCATCTGAAGGAACTTCAGATGAATCTGAGACAAATGAATCCCCACAAAAACTTACTTGCGGCGATGAAAAGCACTCACGACACTCCGCCATTCTCATTTTTGACCTTGATGACACCCTGATTCCTACAGAATGGATTCGATCGACTTTCGCCGCACAAAAGCACAAGCACGCAACTGCTGATGAGGTTTACCAAGTGAGCAATGTCACGCCCTTAGAACAATCCCTCAATTGTAAGATTGACGGGCTCCTAGCTTTCAGAAAACTCTTGCTGTATCTGGATGAGGTTCATGTATACCTGCACAGACAAATTCCTTTGTCGTTGCCACTTGACGTACTGAAGTTCTCACAGCCAACCCGAAGTACAAATGCGATTTTCGTAGGAAATAAGGGAAGAACTAGAACGCCTTACATCAAATAAATTGACTCCTATTATTCTAGGCACTTTGAAGAGGGCCAAAAAGTGGAGCGAGACGGTCGTAATTGTAACGAACGCAAGGAGTGTTAAGTGGCTATCAGCAATGAAATCCCTCTTTCCCGAGGTTGTGCAGCTCCTTCAGGACGAAAATATCCCTATTATCCGTTCCTGCCCAACTGGAGAGGAGCCAAGCATTCACGAGGCACCTGCGTACTTCAGTTATTGGATGAATGCCAAGGTGAGCCAACACCAACACAACACCCACAGAAGGCATTCCATCTCCCAGGAAGCTCCAGCAGACAGACTATTCGTAAGACAAGCTGAAGGAATTGATGTGGGTAACATGCTAATTTTTGTGGCTACAGAAAACTAAATTTTTTGAGGTCGTTGACCAGCACTTCCAAGTCAACTCTATTTCGCCAACAACAACGGTAGATCTCATTTCCATAGGGGACAACGACTTTGAAGAATATGCAGCTTTGGTAAGGGAAGTATATATCTACCTATATAGTGTTGATGCGTTTGCAAAATGGGGATGAACAACTTCGCAAATAGCTAGACAGGGCTGAATCCCCTTCATCACCACTTCGGCTTTCAGGCTTCTACGAATCCTGATCAGGGGCACTTCCCCAAGTGCATGAGTTTCTGTTCAGCGTGCTGCCTATGAGCTACCAACAATAAGGCTTGCAAAAGTGGTCAAATGCCGTTCGGGACTAGAACCGCAATCGTTCCTGCATGTAAGCATTCCACAAGGGAATTCGTTCAACATTGAGCACGAGGCACTGAGGTTTGGTTCCCCTTCGATCACGTTTTCCTCATACTGGAAGAAGGATCAACACATCTGATATTCCGTTTTTGTCTTCAGCAATTGAAGGAAATCACTCTTGCTATAGATCATATTTTTGAAGAAGGCATGCCGTGTCCAACCCGACGTGTTGGAGCAACAGTTACATACGCCATCCAGTAAGCATTCCTCATCCGCTAGTCCAACCTTCTTCGCGAAATCTCTCCAATAGTTCTGCAGTAGGTATTTCTATATCCATGTGAATGTGCACACTCAGTGGAAGAAGGAAAACTCATTGATGCCCCTCTTCGACGGATCACATGTGGAGTTCGGAAAGGCTCGCCCAGTGGTACTGCCAACGCTGAAGCATATCTTCCCCTGCTAAGCTACCCATCGATACGGGAGCTTTGTTTGAGCCTGCGACCATCTATAAATTATGCGGCCGTTTCGTCTGCCGTTATAGCTATTTGAATTTCGCGACGAAAACTATTTATCATCTATCGACTCATTCGTTGCATATTATTTTAGTCGTTCCTAACTAAGTTGAAGAGATGACAAGTACTTTACATGTTGCAAAGTAGCACTGTTCAAAAAAAATTTTGCAGTCGCTTGGTTTTGAATAATTCAGAGGTCCATGAAGCCTAAGCTCGTCATCGCCAAGACGATTAACGATATTTGGCAATCTCGTCCTGGAGCGACTCCGTGAGTTTTGAGCTTGCATTTGGAGATCAATCTCGCTTACTGAAATGACAGTGGCAGCGCAAGCGAGATAGGCGAGGCCGACAATGCTTGCGATCGTGAGCAGGACGGCGAGATGTGGAGTCTGACGAGGGGGAAGGCTGCGCTCAGTGTGTTATCTGGTTTCAACTGTTATCGATTCGGGAGGAAACTTACATTTCTCCTGTCAGATGCTGAAAGCAAATGTTAGAAAGTTTTTTAGTAAACTTGCTTTAGAAATAACGTACCTGTCCAACCGCAATAACATCGGCCTCAAGTGCTCTTCCGGCTGATAGTTTGCCTGCATTCTTTCTGAACTCCCTCAACAGCCCGCTGTATGTCTGTTGGTATTTTTTAATAGATGGTTGAGACGGACACCAGAGAAAGTGCCTCTTACCCTAAAGTTGATCTCAGGTTCAACTCCTGTTTGCAGACACAACGTTATTATAGCTAGTAATGATTTAGCTTTTAGTGTCGGGTTACGTGCCTTTCTTCCTGAAAAGAAAAATAGTTGAATCAATGGCATTCAATATGGCTTCCAGTAAAACAACATACCACTTCAGCGAAGCACCCCCATCGGAGGCAACGTAGAGCAATAGAAGGCCGTCGTGGCACTTGCTGTGTCCAAGTCCCCAACGGTCTGAATGCAGTTCTCTTTGCTTCCATTTGAACACACCCACGGTATGGTGCATTCCCTTACCAATGAGTTCCGTTGCGAAAGTGTTCGCATCGACGCCGTATGGAAGCTCTTGAACAATCGCAACAGCGAATCTGAGAGTTGCACAATGCATGCCTATTCCATCAGGTATCAAGATAATCCAGTCCTTACGGGTAAGAGACGTATTCGTCGACACAACGGTGGGAGGAGCTGTGGCGGATATTGGACAGGCGCTCTAAAAAGGACGAATATTGAATAATGAACAATAATTATGCAGCGGGTTGAAAGACACACCTTCGATCCTGTCGAGTGTGGCGCTTGAGAAGACGTGATCTAAACAATGTGATGGTAAGCAAGGGTCCTTCTGAAACCAGACAAGCCAGTCACAGTACCTGGGTCACAGACGTAGGAAACTTCCATGCCCCATCTTCTGCACGCCATTGTGTTGATCATTGGATTCGGGTAGTTTTCCAAGGTGGTGAATCCAGGCAACATATTTGAAACGGGTGATCCCCTTTCGAATTCTTCAGTGAAATCATCGGGGGTTGGTTCCTCCGAAAGAAGCACCTTCTCAACTATACAACGAGTTGCGTCCAAAAGTTAGAGGAGCAAATAAAAATAAGCTTCTAACCTGAAGTAGGCCAAACTGGCAACTTGAGTGCCTGATTCTCGCTCGACAGCCAATCGCGCGCTGACGCAGGGACCGCCAGGCCTACTAGAACTACTGCTGCTCTTATCATTGTCAGTATAGAGTTCGTGGACAAATATCGATGCAGAGGGACATAAAAAAGGCGGCAATAGTTTAAATCGCGCCACGACTACGTGCCAGTGCGTTCTGTCATCGTTGCAACTGTCTATACACCGCCAAGGTGTTCGCCGCGGAGGCAGCTCAAATGCAAATTACTTTTATTATAAAGCTACGCTTGGCCAACGATTCTTTCTAGTAGTTGCTTGTAGTAACAATTTGACAGGACTTATCCTACCGAATATTGTTTTCGTGGTAGTGAATTCGCAAAAACAAGTATAAATAAAGCAATTAACATTGCACAAGCAACCACTGCTCTGTCCTGGTTTGTCCATAAATTGCAGAAGAAAACGGACCCGAAACCTCACACGGTTTCCGAACAGGAAAAGCAACTGTGGCTCCCGCTGCAACTTAGCTTGACCAAAAAATCTACTCTGATTTAGTTTTATCGTTGGGCGGATTGGATTGATCGTGGAGGAATTCCTGCAGCTCATGTGTCGCATCAGGAAAGCCTCCATGAGAATGCTTTCGCCGAGTCTCATCTCTAAGTTCAGGATCTGCAAATTCAGACACTCACCAGAGCAAAAGCCTTGCTATGCATGCAACCGGCTAGCGTGATCTGCTGTTTCCTCTACTTGCGGAATCAACAACTTGCCTGTCCAGTTAGGGACGATCTTAGGCGGAACTGGTAGCCACCAAAGCCACCAATGCCGACCGAAAACAGCTACGGAATGCTCCCACAGAGTAGTCTGCATTTTTGATGAACAAGACAAAAAGGCAAGATGTCTACGAGTTTAGAAGCAAGCGTAAACCTAGTGCAGGAACACTACTGAGAGTCGCAAGCAAATACGCCAGCCTTTAGTGTACCTTTTGTCCGTGAGTATTCCTGTACGTTTCCACTAGGGTAGCGTTGGTTTCAAGGGCTTCCCATTGCTCTGCTAGAAAATCCTGAAATCAAGCACGAACAACAAGAACTCTGTCCGCTATGGTGAGAGAATGAAAGATGCGAAATCAAATTCTGTATGAGGGCGGACTACTAAAAAACAAATAGGCATATTCATGGCCTACCAGCGTGATGAGTAGGAAGACAACATCAATTACCAGGCATGCCCCAAACAGTACAGGAGCCAGCCATCCAGGATAAGATGACGTCCACTGCTTGATGAAAAGCTGAATGCAACAAAACCGTTTCATTCTTGCCGTGCTGATAAAAACAAACGCGACCATTTTGATCTGGTCATGGTAAACTGTTAAGCACTTGTGTTTTCTTACGTCCTTATGTTCAGCAGATGAAATTAAGAACCTTCCGACTCCCGAAAAGATAATGCCAATGTTGGAAAGACAAGAGAGAGCTGTTGACAGGCATTGAAAAACACATGCATGAGCCCACACACCGGTTTTCCTCAGCACGCAGCTGGACTGTTGCGGAACTTCGATTCAAGGAGAACATTATGTATTACTGGAAAGTAGAACGGGCAACCAAGCAATGGGTCTGGCTCAATGCGCTTTCGCCTCACCCACCCATATACGAAAGGAAGAGGAAGAAGTACTTCTGGTTCATGGTGCCGATGCAGTTGTTGACCCAGGGACAGTGATGATCCATCTTCATTATGCACCTGTAGAACAGAACAGTGCGCAACATTACCAGCATAAGGATGGATTGTGTGCAGCTGTACCCAACGTGCTATGAAAGCTGATTTAGCGGGGAACGCATCAAGTGCTTTCCACCAAACACGAATTCTGCTCTTCGAATAGAAGGCTTACTCCTTGCAGACTTTGCAATGATGAGCGCGAGGCGGTTTCCACCGGTTTTTACACTTAGAGCAGAAATTTGTTTCTCCCTTGAAGTCCTTTGGAGGGGTGGACTGCACCGCAGCATTCACTCTTTCGCTGAAGTCGTTAGACACATGTCACACTTTCCCTTTGTACCCCTCAACTCAAGTCCCTCAAAAAAATTGCCAGCACCTCCGTCAAGCAATGTACCATCAAACCACTCACCGGAGCCCTTTTTGTCGAGCCGGGATCCGTTAAGAGTGTTGCCAGGTGAGAAAAAAGCCCCAGCCAGGTAACGCACTCGAAAACTACCTTGAAAATGTTTCCGATAAAGATGAGCGGCGGTTTCCCTGAACACAAGACCACACGTAGCTGTCAAGTATTATTGGAGACTTGGCCCACACTCCTCTACAACAAGCAGTGGTAAAAGGAGTAACCGTATGCCGTTGGCGTCTGCAGGTTAGCTATCTTTGCGAAGGAGAGAGGCAGCAGTCTGAGCACCTGATCGCTCGCAGATATCATCAATACATGTTGAAATTCAAGTAGCTTACAGACAGAGTACAAAAGGAGTGACCCAACACAACTGTTACTCACCCGCTCCCGGGGGCCCCCGCATAGCTCGTGAACCTTCCGCAGTGGATACATCTGCGAAGGCGACATTGAAGAAGAGAATATTTGTGGCGATCTTCACCACCAACCAACATACCCACACGAAAACGCATGCAGCGATGCCTCCTGGATGCAAGATGAAGCGCATCCTGTGTACTTCTGCTGCCCCGTGTAGCCCAACGGCGATCCCAATGACTCTGTCGGCGCTTTCTTCTCCTCGAACAGCCACAGCAGTCCTCTTCTCTTGGTGGCGACAGGTGGGCAACAAGTACACTCCCCGCGCAGAAGATGTTTCTCCATGAGCGCGGTCAGTCACTCAGGCTTTCGCGAAAGCAGCCGGTCAGCGTTGCTTGTTGCCTTGTTCGGACCAGAAGGGAAGGCGATCCTCCAGTGATCCCTAGAAAACTCTTTACATACAGACGTCTAATTTATGCGTTGGTCTATTAATACGATTTTTACTTCAATGAGGTGCACGTTTTGCACATCATTAGAGTAGGGTAGGACAGCAGGCCACCGCGGGTGGTGGTGGTCTACACTATGGGTTTGTGGTTTGTGCCTGATCCTCCGCTAGAATATTTCCTTTGATTATTATAAGCTTTTTGCATTTCGTTGCAGTGCAAGACGGTAGAAGACTTCAGCTGGCTTGATCAATTCGTTATGCACGCGTTAATCTGGGAAGGTTGAACAGCAGACCCTCCCTGCTATTTCGCGTTTCAGGTGAAACTGCCGTTCCTGAGGCCTCTATTTTCGGTATAATGACGCTTAAAAACTGTATTGAATGGTTGTTCCTCCACAGTAAGAAGAAATTCGTGATTTATTTACCTCATTTCTTTGGTCACAATGCGACGAAGTCGCCGCAGCCGCCACCCATCATTATGCATGCGACCATCATTCATGCATAGCGTGACGGGCTCTCTCCCTCTCTCCCTCTCTCTCTCTCAACTACTAACAGTTACCATAGTTTTCTTATTAATTAATTAAAAGAGTTAATATCCATATTATTCATCTTTATTTATTTAAAGGTTTACATACAGTGTGTATATGACGCTTCCTTTATACGAGGAAGACGCGCACACAGTATGCAGGATGTATTTACGGATATTGCATTAGGGTTTTTAATTGCTATTTGTTGTATACATAAGCATCTCTAACTTATAAACTCATTATAAAGAATTCCTTTTATTCTTATTTAATAAAGAGGGAGGGGAGATGAGGCGATTAATTGATGGTTTGTTGGTCTTGGCGTTATATTCAATTAATCATAATGAGTCCTCCTTAACTGGGGAGTAGTGTGGATACTCTGCTACTACACTCCCTCTACGTCTATATAATTGAATAATTATAATATTATTCATTAATTAAATAAAGAAGAGGAAGAGTTACCATGTAAAGATGGCGATTTATTCACGTGTTGGTGTATCTATGCACCCTTCTTCTTCTTTGTTATATAGAGGCAGACATAGTAGGCGCAGTCTTTCTTCTTCATCAGCCTCTCTCCTCTTCTCTCCTTCTTCTCCCTCCTCTTCTATAGATTATTGCCATTTAGCCAGGGGATCTTGTGTATTATTTCCTCCTGTTGGGGGGAAAATACACCGCAGAGCAGCAGCAGCACAGCAGAGTCCTGCAGCAGCAGCAGCAGCAGCAGCTGCTGCTGCTGCTGCTCTTTATGATGCCTCTCTACATACAAGATGTATTAAGTTGCCTCTATTGAGTACAACAGAGGGAATAAATTGGGGAATTAATAATAATAATAAATATATTAATAATAAATATATTAATAATAAATATAATAATAATAAATATAATAATAATAATAATAAATATATATTTTATTCTTCTTCTTGCTCTATTCATTCAATAGCTAGTAACCTGCAGCAAATAAACAAAAAAGATATTTCTTTTTCCTCCTCTTCTTCTCTTCCTTCCTTATCTATTTCTTCACAAATTAATAATAATAATAATAATAATAATAATATAAATAATAATAATATAAATAATAATAATATAAATAATAATAATAATATAAATGATGATAATAATTTGCATGCAAATAATATACAAGAAGAACCAACAGAAGGATCTTATACACAACAATTCCTACAACATATACAAGATCTAGTAAGCCCCTTTCCTCTTGCATGCATGCACGCATGCGTGCATGCATGCATGCAGGCAGCAGGCATAATTGCATGCATGCATGCATGCATGTTTCTATGCATGCATGAAGGGTTATATGCATGCATGTAGGGTTATATGCATGCATGCAGGGTTATATATGTCCTTTTATTGATGGCTTGTTGTCTTATTTTCCTCTCCTTGCTGCTCCTGCTCATGCTGTTGTTGCTGCTGCTGTCGCTGTTGCTGTTGCTGCTGCTGCTGCTGCTGCTGCTGCTGCTGCTGCTGCAGGTGGGAGCAGCAGCGAAAGATTCATCTAGTGGTGATTGGTTTATAGATTGGCTATTGGCTATTAAATTAGGTCTAGGCATACCATGGTAAGTATAATTAATTAATTAATTAATTAATTAATTAATTATAATATAAATTATTATATATTTCTTTTGCTGCTGCTGCTGCTGCTGCTGCTGCTGCTGCTGCTGCTGTTGTATAGGTGTTGGGCGTTACCTGTTGCTGGTTGTTTATTACGTCTT